ATGTGTTTCGTTATTTGTTTTATCATTTGCTTCATAAATGTTATGCGTCCATGATTGAACGACATACGTTTATATCGCGTTGGGTTGCTTCTGGATTTTCATTTTCCCCATGGCACGCCACCCGTTGAGCAGTTTTCTCCCTGTGCAGACGAAAAAAAATATCCGCAGATGCACCTGCAGTCCTGAAGCAAGGTGTTGGACAAAAAATTGGGAGACAAAAACCTCGAATCTCAAGAAGCAACCCCGCAGGAACAAGCATTTGTTTGGTTTGCCTTCTGGTTCCGCACACATCGACGGCGTATCCGCTTTCTTTATTCATAAAACCCTGGTGATTGAAATGGTCATTGTTGTTTTCCAAAAATGGAGAAAGAGATTGATGTACAATGTGAAGAACATGTTGGATCCACAGCAAACCGCGCGTTTCGAAGAAAACAATTCCCTATATTTTGACAAATTCATTGGAAAACATTTTTGGATTCACCAAGGGAACTATGAAATTCGCGATCACCCTTTAACCCCCACTCCCAACCAGCATGTTGAAAAGGAGAGTTGCTGCTGCACGTTGACTTTGAATTGGCCCAAGCGAATGCGGACAAGTTCGAAATGGAGGGCAGCATCAGCCATGAACCACAAACTTTTGATTCGAATTTTAAAAAATGATGCAAAACATTGCAACACACCGTCCCTTCAGGATGTTTTTTTTCAAATCATTGCTTTGCATCATGGCCCGGACGTGAAGGGTTGAACGCATAGCGAGCGCGACAATCATCTCTACTGCCCTAAAATGTTCCACTTGTTTGTTTGCAACTACTGCATGGATCAAAATCGCACTGACATGTGTTCCAATAAATAGCGTCAATGGCAGCGAGCAGAAACGACCAGGGGCCACTGGCAGCAAATAACGCGGACAGAAATCTCCATAACCCAAACATTTCGCACAACTCCGATGGATAAAACAAAAAAATGACCCACACGAACTAAAATAAGACGATCGCTCGAAGCAGGAGTCACGTCTTCGCGCAGGTGCACGAATTTCTGCAACGGGTTTTTTGCACTGGCTGTAGCTGCCCTTCGAACATCCAAAGCACTGAAATAGTTTTTTGTTTCAACCTGCGGTTGTGCGAATTATTCGGGTAACTAAACTATATTTTGTATGTTTCATTGGCATGCTTTGGTTGGAAGTTTTCAGCAAGTTTTCAGCTCCGGTGTAGGCACCATTTTCATCAAGGACCCAAATTTGGATACAGAATTCCTACGCACCAAGGTGATAAGTTGGGGTTCAAGTTCATGCAGTCCCCTTGTTTCTTGCTGGGTTGCCGAGCAATAAAAATGTATGTTCATGTGGTTTTTGTTCATGTGTTTTATGTTTCTGCCCGTTGGTGGCGAATCGCGGAGCGGACATATACAAAAGCAGCAGTCCGCCTATACCGGACTTGATAACATGTATACTTTTTGTGATGGGCAAACGTTTTTCTAACCTGCAAGTTCCATTTTTCATGTGTTTCGTGTTCCGTCTTTCTGGCACTTTTTTCCACGTATCATTTGAAATATAATGTAATATAATTTGAGTTGCCCGTGTTTGGCTTAAGACTGGTGGGGGGGGGGGTCCGGAAACGGAGGGGTGGTGCACGGCAAGGTGCTAAAATTTCAAAAATAGGTGCTCAAATTTAGGAAATTTGTGTTTTTTTGAAGAAACCCAGTCGGGATCCAGTCGGGACCCAGTCGGGACCCAGTCGGGACCCAATCGGGCACCAATTTTTGCATTTTTGGGCACCGCTTTTGGCCAGTCGGGATCCAGTCGGGATCCAGTCGGGCACCAATTTTCGAATTTTTGGCACCACGTTTGGACCTGTCGGGAAGCAGCCAAAATCACCCAAAAACGCGCAAAAACACTGCAAAAATGTTATTTTTTATGAATTTGGCTGCCTCCCGACATTGGTGCCCGACTGGATCCCGACTGGATGCCGACTGGATCCCGACTGGCCAAAAGCGGTGCCCAAAAATGCAAAAATTGGTGCCCGACTGGGTCCCGACAGGATCCCGACGGGATCCGGACTGGATCCATAGATCGGCAAGAACCCACTCCCGCACTTATTTTTCCCTTCCCAGACCCACCCTTGCCCCTATTTTCCTTTTCCGCGCACCAGCCGTGCACCAATACACCCCCCCCTCCTGCACCAAAACGGCAAAAGCAGTCTTAAGCCAAACGAGGGTTCTACAAAATATAATCCCGTTCCTGCTCCTGTCTAATAGACCTTACCAGTCGCAGAATGTTTGCTGCTTCCAATATGGCGGTCCGTGTTCGCAACAATTTTTCCAGCGGGCCTAGCAGGCTGTCTAATGAGCCGTTCTGCAAATAATGTCCGCAAGAACAAATTGTTCCCAAACGCGCTTTCCGATAAATCACACCCTTTCCCGAGTAATACGGTCCCAAGCAGCAACATGATGCAACTTTAATCAATGAAATAATGTAATCGCCGGCAGCCACCGCGTGCATAGGGAATCATACAGCTGTCATGCACGACAGAAATTGCGTTTACGATTCAATTTTGAGGGTTGCGTACCCGTAAGCTGGCACAACACGGTTCAAGGACCCGATCTGTGATTCAAACATGCCAAATCTGCGGCACTGTCCTTCATGTCCGTGCATTGGGTTTCCTGGGATCTTCACCGGATGTGTCCCAGAGGCGGGCGGCCGGAAACGGAACCTATCACGCACGAAGTTTTCTGTGGAACCTCTTCGGAAATATCCCAAAACAATTTATAAATGAAGCTGGGTGTTGACTTTTTTTTTCGGTGGAAACGTCGTTGAGGCAACAGGTCGCACACACCACTTTCTGAGGTTTTTCCCGCGGGTGCATGCCACATGCTTGGGCACCAAAATTTACATGTCAATATTGCACTCGCAAAGTGGTGGTGTCCCTATGCCTGGCATGGTGGGTGTCCCAGCTGCATTCAGCAACTATATGGCAGCCTACGTCTTCATCGTTGTCCACAACAACAACAACAACAACAACAACAACAACAACAACAACAACAACAACAACTACTACTACTACTACGACGACGACGACGACTACTACTACTACTACTACTACTACTTCCACTACAAGAAGAAGAAGAACAACAACAATAATAATAACAACAACAACAAATACAAATACCAATATATATAATATTATATATATAAATATATATATATATATCCCTGCAAGTCGGAAGGTCAAGTTTTACGAGGTCTTTTGCAAAAGACCAAGTTTTACAAGTCCTCTGGTTTACTTGATTTTATAGAGCTCAGCCCTTTTTCCCATCAATGCTGAATTTGACTTGAACCCCGTTTGAAACTGTTGATGCATGATTGGGAAGCATTCAATCACCTACAGATCATAGCCCCGAATGGGCCTTTCCAAGTTGCAATGAACAGCCACTAAGGCTGACATTCCGGAGCATATGCAAAGCAAATTCGCGGCGTTTCCCCTCAAGAAATTATATGTTTGGCAGAAATTTCCACACTGAAAAAATGGTTCCTAGGGTTTCACGCTCGGTTCACGCTCGGTTCACGGTCATAGTTGGTCTTTTGCCAGTCATAGTTGGTCTTTTGCCGGTCATAGTTGGTCCGGTTCACGCTCGGTTCACGCTCGGTTCACGCTAGCGATTCTGGGCCCCTGATAATTCAAAAACCATACGTTTGTGGTGGTTCCAGCCCTGGACTCCCAATGATAAAATAGTGTGGGGTACCCTATGATAAACCGCAAATTGGATATTTGGTCGGTGAAGGGATGTGGCTATCCTGAAATTTAGGTCAACAATTATGGGTTTGTGCATCTTATATATTACTGTTGGACATCCATGGCTCATCTTAACTTTGGACCCAAAAGGTCCAAGTAATAGTAGGTCCTCATCAAGTAATAGTAGGTCCTTTTCAGCAAAGTTAAAAGGCCAAGTTTTACGAGGTCTTTGACCTGGAGGGTATAAATATATATATATATATACATGTTGACAACCACTTTGCAGTGCGAAGCAGCGTGAAAACTGATGAGCACACAACACTTTTGTCCATCATCCCAGCAGGTAAAGAGGTCGCTACTGCAGCCATTCCAGCATTGGCAGTATCGAAGAAGCAGCAGGCTGTAGGGCAAGAGGTCAAAGGGCCTGCCCAGGGCCATAGCGCTGAAGACCTCGGCTGCCATATAGTTGCTCAATGCAGCAGGGACACCACCAGCTTTCGAGGGCACGGTCCAAGCGGGTGCGAAGGACGTGTCACAAGGGCGTGACGCTTGTGTTGACCCCGCGAGTGTGCGCTAATGCGACAGCAACAACGCAGATCCCTCCAGAGAAGAGCAGGCCAGTTGCAAAACGGCTACAAGGCCAAACTCCCAAAGAACACCCAAGTATGGTGTTCATGAGCCTGGAGATGCCCGTAGTCACGGCGGGCCAGTAGAGCTACATTGAGCCTTTCGCTTTTGCACCAGCCAGCTGTCTGACATAGAGCAACTGCAAGGAGTCGGCAAAGCCCTCGAGGATACGGTTGTGCCACTAATGTCCATGGGATCTTCTTTGTCGGGCGCGTACCCCTCAAGCGGACATGACGTTTTCTGCATGTACACATCATACGCACACCTGCTAGCTTTGAGTTTGTCCCAAAGCGAGTCGCCTTGCGCCAGGGGGTCCCAAAGCGACAGAAGCAGCAACTGAACAATGTGCCAGCATGGGAGTCCCTGAAGCGACGCCACCGGCGCTGACGCCAAAACCAAAAGGTGTCCGGATTCTCCACAAAATAGACCATGTCTTCCTCTTCAGCAACATCAACGGCGTCCTTAATGCAGTCACTGTGGCTGTTACCATCTCGCACCTTTTCTCGCATCGACTGTCGAGGTCCGGGAATGCCTCTAGGGTACTGCTGGTTCCTGACCGGTGGCGTAACTGCTACCGAAAAACTTGAGCAAATAGGTGTGGCCCCAAAGCTAAGCAAGCAATGCAGTCGCATCATCTACAGGAGCTTCTTGCGCAGGTCATCATCTAGCAAATCTTCAGAGGAATTGCGCTTCCATTCAAAAGTTAGCACCCATGGTGCTCCAAACTTTACCATCTGCTTTGCGACGCCATAGTTGCCGCTATATAAGTCGAGGCCACCAGCATCGAAGAAACCACAGACCCCGTCGGAAAAAAAGAAGTGTCGTTGCGGGAAGGACGGGAAGGACTCCAACATGGCCACGGCCTCGTTGGTCAAGGTGCGCATCTTGCTGTAACCAAATGGATTACCCTCATCTTGAACAGGAACAGCGACATGGTCTGTCCCCTTGCCACTGGCCTCCCAATTTCCCTTTTCACAAAGGTTCGCATCAGAAGCAGACCTGGACGCGGCTTTTCTCGGTGCGAGCCTTCCTCCCCGAGCTAAGGTCACAATCTCTTGGCTGCCACAGATGTCATAGAAGGGAAGAAAATCATCAGCGCTAGGGGGCCCCTTGCTCCATCCAACGGTCATTCGTGTCGAACCTCCCAATCTGGAGGGGCTCGAACCAGGACGGAAGAGCCAAGTCAAGTTCCGGGAGGTCAGCATCTCCGGTAGGGGCGTCCCCTCTACGGGATGAAGTGAAGAAGCACATCGGCAAGCTGAAGATGTCTCCACCCAGCACATAAGGAAGTGTAGTCTGCATCGTGGTGTTGAGCTTCTGTGCTGCAGCGCGCCCCTTCACCACTGCTCCTAGTGCAACCTGCGAATCAGCACCTGCAAGGTATCTTCTCGAAGGAGTAGAATTTGCAACTCTTCGCGCTTCCACCAAAAAAGATTGCAATTCACTGACATTGACAGGCTGCTGTCGTTTAATTCGCCTCCGCCACGTCTCACGATAGGGCAGGGCTCTTGCCAGAACCTCCCACAATAGATTGGTGGTAACATTCATCGGGCACCTCCTCAGAAGCCTCCAGGTAGGTAGAAGCTTTGTCCAGATCCCGCGTCTCAGCACATGCCTTGACATTTCCGGCTGCAACACTCGAAGGTATCGGAGCTCGCACCCCTGCAATGATCTTTGAACTAAACTAGCGTCAGTAGCTGACACGAAGTCTGCAAAACCTGCATGTAAGTTTACAACAGCCAGAGTGCCAAGGACGACAATGGACAGACTTCTTGGGTTTTTTCTTCAATCCCACTTTTCTACAAGCGGCATGGACCCGGATCATCCTTTCAGCACTGTCCCATGTGCCATAGTAGGTGCCGTCCTCTCCAAAGCCGGTCTTCAAAGCCTGCTCAAGCACAACAAGGTCGTCAACCATCACACCAACCTGCAAGAGGCCTCGCGGAACAGCTCCACGTAAAGCGATGATCTCGGAGACCTTGGCTGCCTTCTCTTGGAGCATCAGGCCGATAGGTGTGCACATTGCGCATGCTCTACCACATTGAGGTCACCCATAGCTAAAAATAACGGACCGACTGCGATCTTCGCCTCAGAGGCAACAAAGCTGGGGCCGAAGACTTCTTTGGCTTCGTGGAGAGAAAGGAAACCCCGAAGAACATTCCTTGCCGTATGCTGGGCCCCCACTTTGAATTGGTTGAAGCAGTCGCGAAGGTTCTCACCACTGCAAACTAGATCATAGTCATCTGCGATGTACAGTCCAGACAAAGTGGATGCACTGGCCATTTTGAAGCTAAGAGCAGGAAACTCTTCTTGCACGGTCGACCTTTTGTACATCTGGATCAGCGGACGCCCTCATCTCTTGTCCGAAAGCAACTACGAGCTGAAATTGTCCTCAGCCGGTCCACCAGGCAAACCACCTGGTGGGTCATCTCGACTGAAGTCAATAAAACAATCCGAAACCAAGAATGTTTGGGAGATTCATCATTGCCGCTTCACACTCCCCTGTTCCTACCAACTTGAAATCTGCTGCCAGGTTGACCATAGATCAGAAGGCCAAGATTGGGTCCTCAACCAGCATGCTCCGTCGGGGTTTGGAGTCTATTGGCCTCAGAGTCCGTTCCACAGCAGCTGAGACGGCATGGTTGTGGTTCCTCTCAAGCCTGGGACCGCTTTCTATCGCGGTCATTCTGCTTGCTTTTTGTTTTTGTTCTCGCCCTCATCTGCATCTTTTGTCGCGGCTGTGCCTACTTTGCGAGTTGAGTTTTCTCTACGAGTTCTCGGTATGGATCTTTGCCTGTCTCCTGAGTGACGAGTGCCAGGCGCTTCGGCCTGGCATTGGGACGCCCTTTCATCTTTATCAAGAGCGTTGGGAATTCATGCTATTTTGTCAAAGTTGACAGGAGCGTGCCTCAGAGCATAAACGGCCGAAGTTGTTTCATTCATTCTATTTGACGGCCTTTTGGCGAGGGAGGCTCTCCACTGCAGGTAAATCAGACTGACAATCTGCATGCCTCAGCCTGAGGACACATCAAAGATGCAGCCACACTACTCTTCTAGTCTCACGCTCAGCACGGTCACCCACGAACATGCTGTCGCCACAGTCACGGCCTACATTAACATCAACGTTAACATCTGGCACAGTGAAGCCCCCTTCTATATATATTTTTCATGGTGAGTCAACGAATACCACCGCATGTGTATTGATCCCTTACCTATTACCCGTGGCTTATTCTTTGGCTCCAGAGAAATATTTTTTCCTTGATCGAGACAGCAAAACCTTTCATATGTGCAACTTACGTAGAATTGTGTTGCATGTCTTGTCCTCAGGTCTCTTCAGGACTCTTTCTTTTCTGTTTGGTACTGTGGTGCTCAGGGAGATCCTGCCCTGGAGAACCCCTGTGTTGGTAGCCCCGGCGGGTGTTTCGAAGCTCATAGCCATGGAGGATGAGATGGTCAGGCGCATGGCCACAGCCATCAGCCACTATACCATCTGCCAGATGATTGATGAAGACCTACAGGCTGCAGGAGCCAGAGTACAGAAAGCATATCAACAAGCGCAAGGCATCCCTGGCATCCCCGCTTCCCTTCTAGAAGCTCTGGGCCGAGCACGTGCCCAGGCTGATAGCCGACAGCAAGCAATGCATGCCCACAGGGAAACCCTTGCACAGGAGGTAGAGAACTCACAGAAAGCCCTTCTTATCCTTACCAGCAGCCAGCGCTACGAATGCTCGACAGAGGCTGAGCAAGTGGTGCACCAGTGAGGGCAACTTTTCAACATACATAGCACTAGGGACTCCATCAAACAGGGCCCAGTTTTCCACCTCCTGATGTGCCTTGGTACGCATACACTTGTAGTAGCACGGGCACAAGGTGTAGAGACAACCACGGGATTGTGGTGACAAACACTCTGAAGGAAACCGTGTATATCTAGTGCCAACAGTGCACAATACAGCACATTACAGCTAACATTTGAAAATAATTGCCTGCTGCGCCGTTAGGATGTTTGGTGATGGTTGCAGACACGTAAAGCTTTCTGCTAGTATTGACAGCAGCTCTGAGAGTGATGCTGGCATTCTTGTCCCTGGGTTGGTCAAGTTTGCCAGTTTCACCTCCTCCTTTACTTCTGTCCTTTGTTAGCTTCTTCCTAACAAACTGTCGTGGATGGCTTTTGCCCGTTGACACATTGGGTCAGCGATGCACTTTGGGTAGTAAGGATACCATGGTGGATACTTGAGAAGGCAAAGGTTGTTCAGGGACTCCCAATTGCGAATACACATCCAATAGCTGCTTACCGCACCTCCGATACATGTTATCAGTACGAATAATACATCTTGCACTCTTGTCCCTGGATTGGTGAAGTCTGCAAGGCACCCCAAGTACCCAGACTAGTCAGGAGGTCTCCCTCACACGCCGCCACGAAACCCCTTTTTGTCTTGTAGTCGCGAAGCTTACCACTATAAGAGATACATATTGCCCCTAAGGAACTGCCACACTCAGGATGAGTTGACACACTGATCTGATATTCGACCCTGCTATTTTGCTTGGCTCTAGATCAACCCGCCCGGCAATGGTGCTGTGCTGATCTACAGGATGGACAAGACGGTGCAAGCTACGGAACAAGCCAACAATGCCTCCACCATCCAAGTCACCCTGCGAAGTAGCATCAGTGGTGAGATGATGCTTGATAGGCCAGTAGTTATGGTAAGCACGGCACAGGTCGCTGACCTCCGTCGTTGTGTGGCGAGGGATGTCTACTGCCCATTGCCCTTTCAGCTCGTGCTGTTGCATGAACAAAAGCCACTTGAAGGGTGCGAGCATCTCAGATCCTATGCACGTAATGGCAAGCTGGAAGTGGCCTGTCTTTATAGGCAACTCATTCTTTCAAGGAAAGCCCAGTGGACACAGCTCTGTCAGGCAGTGCGTAGCAACGCCATGGCCTGCTTTAGTCGCCTGTTGACAAAGGTATACACCTAGGGCGAAGGGTGGAAACTGATGATGAGATCTCCACCATACTGACCATTACGCTGAACCAGGAGGCTCTACTCCTTCAACAAACAGGTGAGGACCCGGCCCCTTTCACACAGCTCGCTTTGGAGCCGGGTGCGGATCCTAACCTTGTCACAAGTGAAAACAGAGGAATTACCCCAAGCTTATGTACCGCCATCAATAGTCGACTTTTCCAGTCGGCGTCCCTCCTTCTGGCCTACACAGCTGATCCCACTACGCCACCCACAATAGTGCCCCCAGTTATAGGAGCCATTCAAGTCAACAACGCCGAATGGTCAGCTTGCTCCTTGATGCGCGTGCCCACCCAGGAGATGAGGTCTATGCAGGCTGCCTTCACCCAATTACAACGTGGCACAAGCCACAATCTTTCCTACGCCTCACGGTGCAAGCCTACGCAGCGGAACATGCTACTGCAGAGGTCTTAGACATCTTAAGAGGGCCGCCATGAGCAGCAGACGAGGCCAATATAAGGAAGACTCCTACAAAGAAGCACATTAGCCTGCACAAGTCTCACTGTAGCTGTCTTGCTCCCAAACTGGTCAAGAATACATTTTTTTCACCTAGGATAATTGTCCGCAACACTACTGCCTCAAAGTAGGAAGTAAAGTCAGAAGAAAAGTTCGAGTGACTGTGCCTTTCGCTGTGTTCCAGCCCATCTGTCCATATGCCATTGACAACCCGGTTGCAGATGGCCGCCTGGTAGAGGGAAGCTCGCAGTGCCAATCCTGTGAATATTGATACCACTAGTTGAAATATTGCGATCTCAGTGCACTTACATTATTCAATACCCATTTGTTGATATCCGCAAGATTTTGCGCTGCCTTCTTGTCGCTGGATTGGTCAAGTTGGCATCAAGCTTGGCTCAAAGCTCCCATTCTGCAGGTAACCTACAGGTAACCGTACAGCTACCTAGTGTCGACCAGTTTTCTGTGGGACCACCACAGCTGCCAGTGATAGTAGCATGGATCACCACCACTGGTTTGGCTCAGGAACGATACCATCTCCAATCACCTATTTGCACAAGTGTACCTGCATCAAGGGTATTACCCAATGCACCGACTCTGCAAGGGTGTGAAGATAGGTAATGCGCCCTTCCAGTTTGTAGAAGCCCACATCTGGGTGTTGAATGAAAAGTGGAACGCAGTGTGGGTAGAAGAAGAGTCTTGCATGCCTCCAGATTCCGACATTGTGCTGAGTGGATCCCACATGGCTTTCAGAAGGTGCTACAGTCGAGGTCCCTTTCTGGCCGCCATGTTTCTACTGGTTTTTTGGATCCTGCTTTGGGAGCCATGATGAAGCAGGTTTGTTGGCATTCGAGGCGCTCCAAGGCTTACCGAGGCCTGCCCGAGGCACGCATGCCAGGAGCTACTGTGGAAGAAATCAGCAGCAAAGCGCCGCCAGCGGTTGCTAAAAGCACCCCAACAGCTGCCAAGCTAGGATGTGCGTTTTCCCACAGCGCGGAGCGTATAGTTGATGAACTTGGACTACTATACCCTGAAAACCGTGGAAATTTGCGGAAAAACATGGCCAGCGTATAGCGTATAGTTGGTTCAATTCGATAAAAAAACCCTACTAAAAAAATCTTTCTTAGAATGTAAGCTGACCGGCCAAAATGGATCTCACGCCACAGCGCGGAGCGTTTAGTAGGGTACTAAACCGTCTGGCCCGCAGCACCAAAATTGTGTTCTCGCCACAGCGCGGTGGGTTTAGTTGGGCTCTTTGTTTGTACGATTATTTTACAGATTCCATTTGTTTGCGTGACGGGCGCAGCACTTGAGAACCCCGTACGGCCATCTTAAACGTTGAAGTGCGGCTGGATACTTTTATTTGACGCCTCCACATGGAGCAGTGGAAAGGTGGAAGCCGATGGTGCCAAGCACACACTGCCCTGTGGGTAGATCTCCTTCATTGGGGCCCAGATGAAAGATTTCCCTCATTTGTAGAGGAACCCAACAAAGCTATATTTCGTTGCTTGCCCCTGAAAAAATTGCAGTAGTGAACTCTTTCTCATCAATG